CAGCTGCGCCACCAGGGAGGGCCCAGGTTGAACATTTTTTAATGTATTTTTACTTACTATCTTCTTTGATGATGTGCCCACTCAAGTCCTTTGTCTATTTGTTTTTCTATTAAGGTAATGTTGGTTTACAATATTATATGTTTTGATATTTTATAGTACAAGTGCATGCCCCTTCAAATGTATGTTGTCCTAAAAGTGAGCCAAACTAAACTTTATTGGGTAAGATATATACACCAGTGAAAAAACTATATAAAAAAGAAGCAGAGCAAAAATTATCACAAAAGTCAGAAAAATGAGCACCTCTGTGGGGAGAGATGGAGCTGCCATCAAACACGGTAACAAGTGTGTTGGCTTCATAATTATGCATTAACCATAATATTGATTTTAATGTACTTTATATTTGTATGTTATATTTCACAATATAGTGGGGATTACTAAATTGATTAAAACTTACTCATGAAAAAAGTAATTAGCAGTGTATGTCAAAGACTATTCAGTCAATGGAACAGAAAAGATACAACTGTCTAAGTTATGTGGTGTATATCAGACGTGTCTCTATGATGTGAAACATCATGGAAAAAATTGTAGAACTCTATTTCACACAAAAAGCTATTCCTGATAGTTTAAAGACCTAAATGTTGAAAGTAAAGCAATAAAAGTTTTTGGGAAACACATAGAAGAATATCTTCATGATCTTGAAGTAAAAAATGATTTCTTAAGTAAGACACAAAAAACACTAGCCTAAAAGGAAAAGACTGATAAAATAAGTAAGTTAAGAGCTTCTGCTCATTCAAAGACATCATACAGATTGAAAAGTAAACCACAAAATGGGAGAAATATTTGGAACACATCAACTTAACCAAGACTTAAGGTTTTACACACACACACACATATACACACACAAAGTACACACACACATATCCCTACAAGTCTATAAAGAAACAACTTTGCTAGGCTGAGTAATTAGTGAAGTTAAAACTGAAATTCAAATGAGCTACACACTAACTCAAACACTAAAATTAAAAATCTGATAGTATCATGCTAAGGAAGATGTGGATGATGGGAGTTGTCACACAATCCTGATGGGAACATAAATTGTATGGCCAAGTGGAAAACAGTCTGTTAAATATCATAAGGTATAATCTCATCTATGTGCCAGCCATGTCCAAGAATGTTCTTAGCAATATTTTTCATAATAGCCCCAAACTGGAAATAGACAATATTTTTCATAATACCCCCAAACTGGAAATAGACAATATTTTTCATAATAGCCCCAAACTGGAAACCATGCAAATGTGTGGATTAAAAAAAGAGGGGTATGGGGGATATATTTATCTTGGGTCCTGATGGCTTTTTTTTTTTTAAAGATTTATTTATTTATTTGTACATACAGAACTGGGGTACAGGCCAGAGGTGCAGGGGCGGCGAGAAACTTCACCAGAGACAGAGTGGGGAGCAGAACAGGCAGATCGATGAAATACACTGCTGAGGGGAGCAGCGGGCGGGTCAGGAGAGTTCTGCCACGCCATGTGGTCACCTCCGGGGCAGGTGGAATCGAACTCATGCGGAAGTGGTTTCAGCTTCTTAGTGCAGTGCTTTAACCCGCTGTGCCACCAGGGAGGGCCCCCTGATGGCTTTTTAATTCTGTCTCTAGTCTCTGGTGAGGCCCAATTGTCTTCTGTAATCTTTTCATACATTTCCTATTTTGCTATAGTTCAATTAACAAAGGGTCTTCTTATGGACCAAAATATCAACAGATGAAATAATTTGATGATTTGAATTTGATTAAAAATAATATGAAGTGGTAGAAGAGTGGAGGCATAGATGAAATAAGATTGGCCAGGAATTGATCATTCTTGAAGAGGATAATAGTACATGGGAATTCGTTATACTCTATTTTTATATGTTTGAACTTTCCTATAACAAAAAAAAGGAGCCTTACTTGTCAGAGATAATGAGTCAATTCACTGGACTCTTAACTGGATTCATATGAGCACACTGGTGATGTAAGTTGAAGAGTCTCTCTCAAGCCGTGAGACATCAAAGGATGACACCATGCACATTAATCCATTGCTTTAAAATTTCCAAATTTTCATGGCACTACGTAGAGAAGAAAGTAAGAATTGAAGAAGGAGCTGAAAGAAGATACTTTAGTGATTGACAAATGGAAGAGAAATGAACCATTCCAACTTTGAGTCCTCAGTTGAGTGTGATTCTTCCCTGACTCTGCAGCTTCATCTTCAGACCTGAAGGATTTCCAGGCCCCTCTTGAACTTTCCAGACTGGAGGTGGGGGTGGGGCTGCTTCTGAGCTGTTGGAATGAAAAGACCTACTGTTCTGATACTGGTTTTCCGTGAGTAGCAGGAAGACCTCATAGTGAAAGGTGTTTAGACCAATGATTTAAAATTGTGGTATAGAAAACATTGGTAAATAGGAGAAGCTGATTTAAAAAGGTGCTAATTAAGGGCTGGATACCAAGGTATTACCACATGATCATTTTTATTTTATTTTAAATATTCTTAACAGTTTTTTTTTAAGATGACTTTAATGCTACTTTTTCTTACTTAAATTATCTTGCTTTTCAGTACTGTCGTTTAGTTTGCTGGCAAGGCAACTGATTCCTCCTCTCAATGTCTCTTATGCAGCTTTCTGCTCTTCAGTAATTTATGTAATTTTTGGATCATGTCATCAAATGTCTATTGGTGAGTTCAGCACTAGAACCACAGGAGGTAGATGAAGTCTCCACCTCAATAATTTACTTACTGCTACAGAACCCAAGTTAAAGCTATATATAAGATAGAAAGGAGGCAAAAGATTGGATATCCCATGGATAGAATTACCCATAAGATGAATGTTCAGATTTTAGTAACTGAACACTTGTAGTATGTCATTATTAATGTCATCACTAAACAGTCCAGCAAGCTGTTTCCCAAAGGAATTAAAGGACAGAGGGACTTTTCTTGGTGAAATCACCACACAAAGGACTCTGACTGCCCTCAACCTGGAAGACCCAGAAACAGTTTTGCCCATACTTCCCAAGTGGATCCATCTTCAGGTAGACTCATAATAGCCAAACCCCATGGGCCTGATTTGCAATAATTGTGTCAATTTCATTTGCAATGAGAAAATGCTGTCATGGTAATTAAAGGAGTAAAATCCAGTGGATAAACACTTTCCTTCCCTGAATCAAAAGTCCATCTACTAATTTATAATTAGAAATGACTGTTAGACACACCAACTACTTAGAGGCCATACTGTCAGCATGTTATTTCACCTAGGTAAACCTGCACAGAAATCAAATTACAAAACTCCTCAGTTGTCTCAGAGGATAGCTATTGCCAACATTCACTCAATGAAGTGCCTGTGTCTGGACTTCTCTACTGAATAATTATCCAAGCAACCAACACTGATCATTCTAACACAAATTTTTCTCAAGATGTGTTTGTATATTGGGTGAATTACCATCCTCTTCTAATAGATGTGGATGAAACTAGGAGTATTACTCTCTTTTTAGAGGACAGTATTACAGATATTTACTAAAATATACACTGTATAGTAATTTAAACCAAGAAAATAATTTCGTTCCCATTTTTTCCAAGTTCCCAGGCCACTGAAAATACTAATAATGAGAGCTCTTAGAGTTTTGTTTCTATTACTTGGTTTAAAAATAAGATTGGTTTTTGTTCATGTAGATATACATGTCAACTGAGGATTAAATGAAGTTATATTTGAAATAGGTGTAGCTCATTGTCATTTTGCTCATAGTAAATATTTCATGATTGTTTTCATTCATGGTTTTTCTTTTTCTTACTATTGACTAGCTTTGTTATCTGATCCTTTCACTGCTATCTCAGCTTTCACCATCTCTAAGATCAGGTATAGTGACTGAGGCTGATATACATTTCTAGTCAACTTTTTTCCAAAGATTTATTTATGCACACAGAATTAGGGTACAGGCTAGTAGCAGAGGGTGAGGGGATTCACCAGAGACAGAGTGAGGAGCAGAACAGGCAGGTCTTCTGAATGTACTGCTGAGGGGAGCAATGGGCGAGACAGGAGAAGTCTGCTATGCCTCGTGGGTCAGCTCCCTGGCCAGTGGCCAGGGACAGCTTCACAGTGCTGCACTTTAATAGGTTGCACCACCAGGGAGCGCCCTCCAATCAATTTCTTTATAAATCCTACACCAAATGCCCATAATGCAGAAGTTAATACCGGATCAACAAGATCTGAATTTTCCAAGTTGGAGTTGGTTATAGTATGTGGAACTGGAGTTATTTTCTCTGTTCTTTCAGCCTTCTCAATGGTCATTTCTCAATAAGAAAAGTTCTCAGGTCAAGGACTATACACCATCAGATCATACCTTGCTTTAGTCAGTATCTGTCAGTTTACCTGGCCTTAAAACCTTACTTTCTGCTTAAACATCATCTTTTATAGGTACCTTCTTCCTTGTAAGTGCACTCATGATCAATGTCCTGAAGTCTTACCCCTTCAACAATGGCCACCTGCTACAGGGAACGTTCATTAAGGGTGATTTTTCTGACTCTGTCTACATTACGGCCTATAACAAATCATTGAGTGCAATGGCATCCACAACTTTTCTGACTGGGATTATTCAGGTAGGACCTGGGTCTCTGAACCTCTGAAGAATGAATGAGTGAATGAATAAGCTACGAGTCCTTTATAACTGTCCCTAATATTGATTGTGTTATATCTGCATTTTATCTTTGGAAAATGTGTGGAATATATAGATAAAGCTGTCTCCTCAGAGACAGCAATCCCTCCTCAGAAATCACTGACCATTCATTTAGGATACTGAACATTCTCATCAATCCCTTCTCTATGACTAAAAAAAGGCCCTTAGGACTATAGAGTTATATACATGAACTTACATTTTTTTAAAGATCATAAAATAACACTCCTAAAAAAAAAAAACACTCCTAATCTAAGATGCTACATTTTAAGTTAGTAAGTATTAAGAATCAGACCTGGAATCCTTCACCTGTAATTACAGGACCACCACTAAAGGACAATAATATCAATGACTTAGTAACACATCAAAATTTAATTTTTCAATATCTTTAATTTCTTCTGAGAGTTTACATCAAAGAGTCATCCACTGGATTAAAGTCACATATTTCAGCTTTATTTTTCTTTCTTCTTAACTAACACAGTCTGGTTTTTTTTTCACTCATCTTCCCCAATATCATCTTTTGTTAGGTAAGGATATATTGTGCACCTGCAAAGACAGTTATCATAGGGCCTTGATCCCAGCCCTGACACAAGATATATGAGCTCACTGAAATTATATTTGTGGGTTTCAGTCTCCTCATGTGTAAATGGGAATAATAATGTTCATTTTGCAAATTCTAAAGATTCAGTAAGAAAATGCATATAAATTACTTAACCAAATCTGTCATGTAGTAAGCATTAATAATTTAGAATCACCAGGTACTGAGAAGTTAACTCGGTGCTTCAACAGAGACCAAAAATAAAAAATAAGATATAATTCCAGTAATTTAAAAAAAATCAATCTTATAAGACTAAATAACAGGAAGTAAGTCAGCAACCAATTATCTAAATGACCTTGTGCAGCTTCTCTTCCCTCCTCTGAACCTTTTTCACCTAATAAAGGAGAAAATATTCTGTTTCCAGGAAGATGGAATAAATGTACTTTTCCCAATTCCTCCTGCTCAGCAAAACTAAAAAACAACTAAAAACCTTGGAGCATTATATATAAAATAAACAGAGGATGACTCTGAAAGGCGGAAAGAAGGCAGACTGGCTCGGAACTTCCAGATCCAAGGAACAACACCAGGGTGAGTTCCTGGGGTTTTCTTTTTGCCTCATATATCTCAAACTTGGAGGTAAAAAAAACCCAAGCAAACAGAAATCCAAAATGCCAACAGGTACAAACAAATTTTTAAAAGTCTGCCCTTTATTGTCATAAGACCAGGAAAGGATAGCAAACCTGAAAACCTTTACATATAAAACTGTTCTGCTTCAGACAAACAGGAAGAAAAAATCTGTGGAGTTATCCCCACTCATGTCAACAAAGGCCAAGTAGTGGGCCTAGAGTTCCCTCAACCAACTGTAATGAGATTCCAACACACCCCCAGTTGGGTTGTTGTAAGAGAAGGTCAAAGAGCACCCACTGAAAACCTGATGAAGAGTCGTCTTGCATCACCATTCGTTGGTAATGAGGACAGTGCCTCCTCTGCTGTCGTATCACCGGAGGTGATGTGGGAAGAAGCAAAGCCATTCCTGTTTCTCCCAACCAGGATGGTATTAGTGCAGACTGAATGGGGAGCCACAAGTCCCACCCCTGCCTGAAAGTAATGAAGAGTCTCTACTGCTTCAGATATCAGTGGAAGTTGATACTCATTACCTCTATCAGACAGTAACAGGGGGCACCTTCCCCTTGCACCCCAGCTTTGTCAAAACAAGCAAGCTAAATAGAAGTTTTAAATAAGATGCAGCATTTCATGGCATAGTACCCACACATGTCTGCAATTAACTTGAAAAAAGATGTCAAAACTGAGATGACAGAGATGGTAGCATTATCTTACAAAGATTTTAAAGTAGTCATCTGTTGTTGCTATCCCACCGCTAAGTTCGCCCCAATGTTAAGAAGAAAATGAAACAGGAGCCTGGAGTCTGTTTATTAGGACCACCCATGGGCATATATAGGTTCTGATATGCCTTGTACCATGGGGGAAAAACAGGAAGTATACCCGATGTGGGGGTGGGGTGCATGTTTGTACCGGGCTTGGGGCTTCTTGCAGTTTCTGCTAAAAACAAGGTAGTGGGCTGTAGCTGTTGCTGGACAGAGTGCACTGTGCTCTGCTGGCTTGTTTGTGGGCCTTAGTGGAGAGTGTGCTCACCCATGCACAACATCAGCCAGGGCGGACAGCTACACTTGAGGTCCTGTCAAGTTAGCCACAGTCATCTTAAAAATGCTTCAATGAGCAATTATGAACATGCTTGAAACAAGTGAAAAAATAGAAAATCTCAGAAGACAAATAGAAAGTCTCAGAAATAAATAGAAAATACAAAGGGGGACCAAATGGAAATTTTAGAATTGAAAAATTGAATAGCCAAAATTAAAAATTCAAAGGATGGGCCCAACCCAAAATGGAGAAGATTGAAGAAAGACTCAATCAACGAACTTAAAGAAATAATAGAAATCACGCAATCTGAAATGAGAGAAAAAGGCCAAAGTCTCAGGGACAGGAGTAACTGTAACAAAAGACCTAATATTTGTTTTCTAAGAGTCACAGAAAAGGGAAGTGAAGAAAGATGGGTCTGAATTTTTTGAGGAAATAATAGCTGAAGACTAACCCAAACTTGGCAAAATATATAATCTTACAGTGCAAGAAGCTGAAAAATTCCAAGCAAGATAAATCCATAAAAATCCACAACAGGACAGTCAGGGTCAAACTTTTGAAAACTTAAAGACAAAGGGAAAAATATCTTGAAAGAAGTGAGAGAAGCATTTTATCAATGGTAATTCTAATGACAGCAGATTTCTTACCAGAAACAATGGAGGAGTTGCACAATATTTTTAACTTGTTGAAAGAAAAGAACTGTCAATCGATAATCAAATACTCAGTGACAATATTCTTTAAGAATGAAGACAAATTCAAGACCTTCTCAGATGATGGAAAACAGAAAATTTATAAACAGATTTACCTTTAAAGAAAGGAAATTTTCCAAACAGAAAGAAATGATAATAGGAGGAATTTTGGAATATCAGAAAGGAAGAAAAGCAATGGAAAGAGTAAAACTAATGATAAATTTATTTTCCTTGTCTTGTCCTCTTGTGTTTTCTAAATTATATCTAATGATTGAAACAAATTATAACAATGTCCGATGTAGTTCAAGATGTATATGGAAGGGCCTCCTTGGTGGCGTAGGGGTTAAGTCTCAGTGCTGTCATTGCTATGATCTAAGTTTGATCCCTGATCAGGGAGTTAACCCCCATATAGCACAGCAGACCTCTCCTGTCTTGCCTGCTACTCCCCATAGCAGTGTATTTCAATAACCTGCCTTTTCTGCTCCTAACTCTGTTTCTGGCGAATCTTCTCACCTCCCCCACACCTCTGGCCTATAGCCCAGTTCTTCTATGCAAATAAATAAATAAAGTGACATTTGCCTTAAAAATGAATATAGAAGAAATATTGAAGATAACTTTTATAGAAAAACATAAAGGGAGATAAGTTTTCTACATGTGAAATTGGTAAAATACTGATACCAATGGACTGTGGTAAGTTAGTCATATTTATAATGAAAAACCTGGAAAAGCCACTTTTTCTCATGTAAAAATTCTCAATTTAATCAATATATATATAGAGAGAGAGTCTTAAAAATGTTACTTTAAGATATAATGTTATGAGATCTACATATTTTGTTCAGCATCAGCTGGATATTTTTTTCTTCATCAACGTTGTAATAAAATGATGCTGAACAGGCCCTCCCTGGTGGCGCAGCGGGTTAAAGCACAACACCGAGAATCTAAAGCCGCTTCCGCATGAGTTTGATTCCCCCCTGCCTGAGAGGTGACCACATGGCACGGCAGACCTCTCCTGGCCCGCCCGCTGCTCCCCTCAGCAGTGTACTTCGTCGATCTGCCTGTTCTGCTTCCCACTCTGTCTCTGGTGAAGCCTCTCACCGCCCCTGAGCCTCTGGCCTGTACCCCAGTTCTGTATGCACAAATAAATAAATCTTTAAAAAAAAAATGATGCTGAGGACCTGTTACACAAAGGGATATGCAACAGCTAAATGAGATTCTAAGAAATGTTCAAGTAACACAAAAGAAGTCAGGAAAAAGGAAAGTGCCAGACAAAAAGAAAAATTACAGATTTATGCCTTAACATACCAACACTTAAATTAAAAATAGAGACTGCTGTATTTACCTATGTGCCACATATAAGAAATATAAAATATAATGATAAAGACAGCTTAAAAGCAAAGCAGAGAGACATAGTATGCAAATGTTTATAAAAAGAAAGTAGAATTGACTATATCAATACCAGAATTTGTAGACTTTAGAATTGAGAAAATTACCATAGGTAGAAAGGAACAACATAATGATAACAACAACAAAAATTCAGTTTACCGAAAAGACAGCAATCCTAAAGGTGTATGTACCAAACAAAACTACAAAATATGTGAAATGAAAACTGATGAGATTGACAGTTAGAGTTGAAGACTTCAACACCGCTCTCTTAATATTTAATAGGAGTAAATAGAAAGTGGTCAGGGGTAGGAAAAAAATAACTTCAACACCATTAAGCAATAGGATTTCAGAGGCAATTATAGAACAGTTCATCCAATAACAGCAGAATACACATTCTTTTCAATGACCCATGGAACATTTATCAAGTAGACCATATACTGAACCTAAAACAAATTTTAAAAATTGAAACCATCAGAGTAGAATCAAAGTAGAAATTGACAATAACAAAGTTAACAAGAAACCTTCAAATACTTGGCTACTAGGCAACCTACTTCTAAATAATCCATAGATCAAAGAGGAACTAAAAAAGGAAATGTTTTTAAAAATACATGGAAGTAAAAGAAAATAAACCATACCAAAATTTGTATGGTTTAAAGCAGTGTGAGAGAAAATTTATAGACCAAAGCCAAAACAAGCAGAAGGAAGAAAATGGTGAAGAGCAAACATGAATGAAATTGGTTACTGGAAAGTTTAAATATTGATCATTCCATTTACATAAATTCTTGAAGTGACAAAATTATAGATAAGGAGAACGGATTAGTTGTTGCCAGAGAGTAGGGATGGAGGTGGAAGAAGGAGGATGGAGGTTGTGGATTGTGGTGGGATGTAAGAGGCAGGTGGGTGTGGCTATAAAAGAACAAGAAGGATCCACCTGGTGATGAAATTATTTTGTATCTTGGTTGCATCAATGTTAATATCCTATCAGGGGTATTGTACTACAGTTTTGCCAGATGTTGCCATGGGGGGAAACTGGATAAGGTGTACACAGGATCTCTCTGTATTGTTTCTTACAACTGCATCTCTCTATACAAATATGTATAATAATTGAAGTTAAACTTTTTAAAAGTCTGAATTAAATAATACATAACGTCTGTTGTGATGGGTTCGCCACTGTTCAAAGCACTTTACATGTATGATATCATTTTATCCTCACAATATCCCCCTGTATGTAGGTGAAAGTCATCATGGGTCCTTATTTTAAAGCAAAGATATAGAAAGGATAAGTGAATTACTTAAGGTATGTAACCAGTAAGATCCCAAACTGTGATTGATTCAGGGTTGTCAGCTTCCAGAATGTGTGCTCCAGATAATATTAAAAAGCAAATATTGTCCCCCCCCCCCCTGGTGGAGCGGTTTAAAGCATAGCACTAAGAAGCTAAAGCCACTTCAGCCTGAGTTGATCCCCATCTGCCCCCGAGGTGACCACACAGCACAGCAGACCTCTCTTGACCCGCCCGCTGCTCCCCTCAGCAGTGTACTTCGTTGATCCGCCTGTTCTGCTCCCCTCTCTGTCTCTGGTGAATCCTCTCACCCTCCGCATCTCTGGCCTGTACCCCAGTTCCATATGAGCAAAGAGTTCTGTGTCAAAAGAATATGAAGTAAAGAAATAACCTTTAGTGAGTTAGAGTTGTCTGGGAGGGAAATTACTATTTATGGAGATTTTCTTTTATTCATTGAACATTTAGGAGTGCTTTCCAAAAGAATAGCAGAGAAGTTTAATGTCACAGGTCAACTCGGACTGAATAACAATGGCTGCCTAGAAAATTATGCTAACACAGATTCTGATGTCACCTCACAGCAAGACACGGAAGAATTCTGTGATTAACGAGAGATATTTGCCATTTATAATGTGGAAAGAAGGGATGGTGTGAATTAATGATGAGCATTTGCATATGTCACTGTTACCAGACTTAAGTGCTTTACTTTGTATATAATGTTCATGTATGTAATTCAGATATAACAGGGTATGTTGAGTATTACCCCCATTTTATAAATGAGGAAATAAAAGCTCAGAGAATTTACTTAATGAATCCAAACTCAATCAGCAAGTGACAGCCAGGATTGAAATCAAGTTTGCCATCTCCAGGTATCATGCTTTTCACCAAACCTTGTGAAAGAGGAGTTTTATTGAGCTCTTGAGACTGTGTACACAGATCAGCAGAGATGGTGGAAAAGAGGGGTTCAGACATAAGCACTCAAGTAGGACTCAGCCAATCACACAAAAAGCAGGAGGCAGATTGACCTGAGAAGTACATTGGGCAGTGATGACAGGAGACTAAGTGGTAACAGTGTCAAGATGACTGGAAGCTTTGAAAACAAAACAACTTCAAAAGCGAAAAGATTTATTCTTCTAATAACAAGAATTTACTTTTCTGTTTGCTTGTTTTCTGAGAGTTCCTACTGCAATAAGCGATGACGAGAGGACAATAGTGGAATTTTCGTTTTCTTCATTGGGCTCTATTAGTTTTCTTAGCCTACCCTCTTTTTTCTTTCAAGGAAATAATTTACTCATTTAAAATTTTAAGATCAAATTCTAAAAAACAATGAAGTGGGGAGAAGTGAGAAGTGTTTCTCAGTAGTTAATCCATGCTGAAATTTGTATTTAGAAATATTAAAATTTCAAATAACTGTAGAATTCTTAAGAAAAGTAATAGATTTTTCACTTTAAGGACAACCATTAAGTGAACTGAAATGTATCAATAGCTTCCAAGTTAGAAAAGACATCATAGGGAGACTAAAAAGTATTGTCAATCCAATAGAAGCCAGGAAGGTAAAAGGAAGAAACAAAGGGGGGAAAAAACAAACATAACTCATGAAATATGGCTCATTTGGGTACTAAAAATACTATATCTATAACTAATGAAAGGATAAGTTTATATAGTAAAGACAAATGTGACTATATTTAGTAAGAACTAGCAAAGTTGAAAATGAAATTACATTGAGTTAAACACATGGAAAATATTTTTCTTGTAACCATAAGCCAAAATAGAAGCAAAGTTAGACTAGAGGTGTTAATATTGTACAAGGAAAAGGTAAATTTTGGGATAAAGAGGAATACTCTTTGGTAGTTAAATTAAAAAGCCTGTGATGATATAACAATTATAAACCACATGTGTTTGGGAAAAAGTCAAAGCATAAAAACAAAGCATCAAAATATATACTGAAAGAAGAAATGGACCAATCTATAATGCTAATGGAATATTTTAACAGACCTATATCAAAACAGATAGAATTTAAAATAAGTAGGAAATAATAATTAAAAAAAATCTTAAATGTCTATAGTACATAACATTGCATAAAAAAAGAGAAACTACTTTCTCTTTAAATATATGTGCAATTTTCTTAAAACTTAATATTAGATTCTAGTAAGACACTTCAAAATTCAAAAAATTATAGACCACCTGACCATAATATCAGTTTTGAAATGGACCCTAATATTGTAGCTAAAATTCAAAAGTATGCAAATGTTCCCTTCATTCTTTAATCCCATTTAGCTCCACAAGTGACTAATCCTTCTAGATTTTTGTTGTGTGTGTGTGTGTGTGTATGTGTGTATAGAGTTTATTATACATTAGAGAAGATTTTAAAATATATTTCTAGAATATACGTGTATATGTTCATCTAAAATACTTCTTCACGTCTTCAGGATATAAAATCCTGAAACATAAATTGAATTGCATCATTCTTAGTTAAGAGTCAAAGGCTAAGATGTTTGAACCTGCAACCCAGTTTTTAAAATTTTCCTTTGTGAAAAACTACATTCCTGCAAGGATATTAACATCTCCTGTAAGGGGTTATCAAAGCTAATGAAAGGGGCCTTGAATAGGTAGAGAAGCTTGCTCTTAGCATTTTGTCACTGCTAACCCCACAGTAGAATTTAAGCCTAACTGCTTCATTCTAGTGTGGTCTAGTAGGCAGTGAGGAGCGTCATAATCAACACCGAGAACCTACCTTACCTCATCACTTTGGTTGATTAGGGAGAGACAGAGCGTTATCAAAGGGGCCTAATCTAATGTCAAAACTTTCTGGTGTGCGTCTAGTTGTTGCAATTGCTGGTTTGATGACCTTCTGCTTCACTCTGGTTTTCTTTCCCGTCTGAACCCCCTGCAGTTATCAATGGGCGTGTTAGGTTTTGGCTTCATTGCCACTTACCTTCCTGAGGCTGTAATCAGCGCTTACCTGGCTGCCACGGCATTACACATTATCCTGTCTCAGTTGACTTTCATCTTCGGGATTACGATTAGTTTCCATGCTGGTCCTGTCTCCTTTTTCCATGTGAGTATTTTCCACTCTCACCCAGAATTCTGAATGCTTCTCTCCTTGCTTCTCAAAGGAAGTAGAGCCGAGTGGAGAGATTCCTGCATAGGCAACTGGGTCAAGAGGGTTCTAGAAGTTCTCTCTTCCAGACTCAGATCTTGATTCACTGGCCTGTGGGCCATGTTCTTTGTTGTATTTCCCTGGCCTTTTCAACTAACAAGAACTATAGTCAAATTTGGTCTTTAAGACACTGTATCCATGAAACACCTGATAACAGACATGGATCCTAAAACCACTCAGAATAGGGTCCTCCATGGTGGCAGCACTAGGAAGCTATCCACAGCCACTGTAACCTGAGTTCAATCCCTGGCCAGGGAACTGACCCACATGGCACACCAGATCCTTGCCCACTGCTCCCCTCAGCAGTGTACTAGATCAGTCTGCCTGCTCTACTCCCTACTCTGTCTCTGGTGAATCCTCTCACTGCCCCCACACCTCTGGCCTGTATCCCAGTTCTGTATGCATAAATAAATAAATCTTTATCCCCCCCAAAAAATCTCAGAATATAAAATGCTAAGTACTCCCTAAATGCAAGAAGAGTATAGGAGCCAAGCACAAGGGCATGAATGGTCCAGAAAAATTAACAAAGATTGTTACTAAACAAAATTCTAGGGTTTTTCCTGTCACATTAAGATATATAGGTGTATTCTCTCCTTTCTGGGCATTACTTTTTTTAATATCTCATTTTCAACTTAAAAAAAAACAAGTATCCATCCACACCTCTCACTAGTAGTAACATTACTACTAGTAATGCTCATAAAGATTTTTTTAATGTAAACAGACAGTATCAACATAGTTTATTTTTCACATTTCTCCTGACAAATGAACATTATTCAAAACATCCTGTATATACAGATAAGAAGAAACATACAAAATATTTTAAATGATTTACAACATCATAAAGATCTTTTTATATAGATTTAGGCAACTGTTGTATATCTTTCTTAGTCTCTGTAATTTTATTTTCTTTCAGAACATAATTAACTACTGTATAGCTCTCCCGAAAGCTAATTCTACCAGCATCCTACTATTTCTAACTACTGTTGTGGCTCTGAGAATAAACAAATGTATCAGAATTTCCTTCAACCAGTATCCCTTGGAGTTTCCCATGGAAATTATTCTGGTAGGTGTTTTGATGCCCCCAGATTCTTGGTTCAAATCATTTTAAAGATCTATCTTTTAAAAAATAAAAAGAAAGTAACCCAGGCAGGGACAGGTTCAAAAGAGATTGTAAAAAAAAAAAAAAGCATTTGGGCCCTCCCTGCTGGCACATTGGGTTTAAAGCACAGCACTGTAAAGCTCTCTACAACCGATGCAGCATGAGTTCGAACCCCGGCCAGGGAGTTGACCCACATGGTGCAGCAGACCTCTGCTATCTCTCCCACTGCTCCCCTCAGCAATGCATTTCAGTACATCTGCCTGTTCTGTTCCCACTCTCTCTGGTTAATCCTCTCACACCCCACACCACTGGTCTGTACCCCCATTCTGTATGCATAAATAAACAAATCTTTTAAAAAAAAAAAGCATTAAAAACTATATATATTGAATTGTGGCAAGGCTGAATACATTTTGTTTTGATAACCCTAACATGCTCATTTTCAAACTACTATTATCTACTATCTCTTTTTTATATCAGAAATAGTTTTTTTCCTTCTGAAAATATTACAGGCTCATTTTAGCAATTTTGAAAAATGAAGAGGAAAAATATAACTGCACTGCCACAAAATGGACTTCAATTGATACTTCTGATTTTAGTTAATATTTTCAAATATACAGCAGACATGTATTGTTTAACTCCCATCTTCTACATAGAGGTTTTGTTTCTGTTTTATAAACACATGTTCAATCTTTTATTCTCCTATGCTACAATAAAGGAATTGAGAGAGATGAGATGTTAAATACATCACCTAACCCCTGTCACTAGTAAGGGACAAGAGCTGGGGCTCACCTCTTTCTAATGATACTATTTCTTGCTTCTTTTTTAAAAAATCTGGTAAAATTAATCTTTGAAGTTATAATTTACATTTTTACAATAGTACAGATACTTGGATAAATAAAGCTCAGGTTTTTGAGTCAGCATTCCTCATATTAGCATCACTAACTCCTTGGGTGTCCATGAGAATTAATTTTCCCTTTAAGAAGTGTTCTGTCACATGTCTTTTGCAGCAACTTGGATGGTGCTGGAAAAGATCATGCTTAGTGAGATAAGCCAGAAAGAGAAAGAAAAATACCGGATGGTTTCGCTCATAGCAGGAGTATAGTGGACCAGGCGAGAAAATAATAAGAATAATGAACAGCCATATACCAGAGATATTTTGTGGGGGTGGAGTGGGGAATGGGATCAAAAATGGGGGGGGGGGAGGGAAGTGCACAGGACTATGGTGATGGCACACGGGTGACTCAGTGATGGGAAACCCATGGGGATTACAACTGAGATTTTTAAAAAAATGTACAAAACGATGTAAAAATAAACTGTTATATTATTAAAAAAAAAAGTGTTCTGTGGCAGAGACATTAAAGTTCACCGAATATCCCTGTGTTCCCTGTGTTTCCCATCCTCCCTGGTAGTTAGGCAAGACCATTGTAACTTTTGTGCCAAAGCATAGAAGACTAGGTGTGAGTCCCCAAGTTCTTTCTCCCCCGGTATGGTATTCATAGTGACTGTATTCTGAGAGAGGAGAGGCCCAGCTCTTATAAGTCTGGGTCCCTGATGCACTGTTTACAAAGATACAGCCCTGGAGAAACACTGACCCATAATGTGGTTTGCAAGACAAAAAAAAAATCTATGTGTTGAGACCCTAAGATCTCATGGTTTGTATGTTGCCACAGTATAACCAATCTTCTACTAACAGTTCTATATTCTTCATGAGTAAAAGAATATGGAATCACTTTGGTAACTGAGATTAACCTCTTGTCTCGTAACTGCTGTCTACTTATGGAGGTACATGTTCTTGATTCCTTTAAGACAATGTGCTTTTGGGGCTTGGGGAGGTGGAGTCGGGGCAATCTCTCCCTTTCTTAGAACACCAGCCCTGCTCTGGCGATTAGGATGCTGAAGCTTTGGAATCACCAGCAGATGGCATCTGTGACATAGGCATCAGCTTGCCCACTCTTCCTCTAATTTCATTTTTATTAAGGAATAATTGACATATAAAATTGTGCGCTATTTAAAGTATACATCATGGTGATTTGATATATGTATACATTATATACTACAAATACATTATGAGAGAATTCTAGTGATTAACATACCCATCACCTCATTTTATCTATCCATCCATCCAGTGAGAACATTTAAGTTCTGTTCTCTTAACAGATTTCAATTATATAACACAATGCTAACTAGTCACCATGTGTTACATTAGATCCTCAGACTTTATTTAGCTTATAGCTAAAATTTTGCCAACCTTTCCTTATCTACCACCACCCTCTTCAATCTCCCACAGCCCCGTTCCTAGCAACCATTTTTTTTCTATTCTTTGCTTCTATGAATGTGACAGGTTTCTTTTTGCTTTTTAAAATATATTTTTTAATTAATTTTTGAACATCCTTGTCTATTTTTTCACAATATAGCATTTCTCCCGTCAGGTGCAGTCACCATAGTCTTCCCACCACCAGAGTGCCCACAGTCATCCTCCACACTGCTCTGCACGCACCTCCCTGCCCTTCTCTACGCTCCCTGCCCCTCTCCTTCCCCTCCTGAGTGTCTCAGATATATGGGCTACTTTCAAGTGTCAGCCTTTCCATTTATCTTTGATCCTTTGTTTGGTATCTCTAGATTCCACATAAAAGTGAAACTATTCACTATTTATTTTCCTCCTCCTGGCTCACTTTGCTTAGCAATCCCTTCCATTTCCACCCATGTTATTGCAAAAGGCATGCATTTATCTTTTGATTGTTGAGTAGTATTCCATGGTGTATAGGGACCACATCTTAACCCACTCATCTATTCTGGGGTATTTAGGTTTTGAATTAGTGTTTTTGTGCTCTTTAGATAGAAACCTCAGAGTGGAATGGCTGTGTCATATGTTAAATCCATTTTAGTCTTTTGAGGAATCTTCACACTTATTTCCATAAAGGCTGTACCAGTCTAAATTTCCACTAGTAGAGTATTAGGGCTCTTTTTCTCCATACCTTTGCCAGTCTTGTTTGTAAATTTTTCTGATATGAACTATTTTCATAGATGTGAGATGTTATCTCATTGTGGTTTTGATTTGCATTCCCATGATGATAGTGATGATGAGCGTTTTTACATATGACTACTGGCCATCTGTATGTCTTCTTTGGACAAATGCCTATTTAGCGTTTCTGCCTATTTATTGATTGAGTTGTTTGTTTGCTTTTTTTCAGTTCTATAAATGCTACATAGATCTTTGTTATTTGCTCCTTACCAGTTTTATGGTATACAAATATTTTCTCCCATTCAGTAGGGTGTCTCATTATTTTAGTCACTGTCTCTTTCATTGTACAGACATTTTTTTAGTTTAATATAGTCCCAGTTGTTTACTTTCTTTGTTTTCCTTGTTGCCAGAGACTAAGTCTATGAAGATGCTTCAGAGATTTATGTCAAGGAGTGTTTTGCCTATGTTTCCTTCTGTGTATTTTATGGCTTTAGGTTTTGTATTCTAGTTTTTTTGGGAGTGGGGTTGATTTTCGTGTATGGTATGAGAAAGTGGCAAGTTTCATTCTTTTGCATGTGGCAAAAAAATATCTTTGTTCCAATGTATATACTTTTTTTTTCTTTGTCCTATATTAATCTACAAATGCATGGTTTTAATTCTGGGCTCTTAATTCTAATCCATTGGTCTGTGTGTCTATTTTTGTCCAGTGTCATGCTGTTTTAATTACTGTGGTTTTGTAGTATAGTTGGAAGTCTGGAAGTATGATACCTGCATTCTCTCCCTTTTAGTCAGAAAAGCTTTGGCTATTCAGAGACTTTTGTGGTTCCATATGAATTTTAGTAGTCTTTATTTATTTGAAGAATGCCATTGGGATTTTTGTTAGGATTTCATTG